GTTGTACAATGAATATTTGGCGAGATATAGCCGTTTAAAGCATCGATTTACGATCAAGCACCATCTTTTTCGGGCCATTTAAAAACAAAGGGTTCCAAAAAGATTTAATTCACAGATCCTTGTAGCTATTAAAAACCTCTACAAATCGTTTTTGAAGAAACATCTATCGTTAAAAATTAAAGGAAATACTTTAAAAAACCAGTTAATTTTTTTCCGGAAAATTCCATTAGTATAGTACAGTACATTTCGGAGCATAATAATCTACAAAACCGGTATATTAGCTAGTGGGGCGTTATACATTCGAAATTTTAAGCGTTCTTATTTTGAAATCCCATACAACAGAATAAAACATCTGCTCATATGTCTATGGCTTGGCAATGAAAATATCAGAGCAACAGATTGGGGATGGTTTTCCAAAGATGGTTTGTTATTACCCGTACGCATGAACAAACAACCTGCACCCGATAAATTTTTGAAAATTATTTTTTGCCAATGCAAAAAGGGATGCGGCGTTTCATATGGGTGCAGAAAAGTTGGTTTATACTGTAACTCTACTTGTTCTGGGTGCTCAGGTGAAGGGTGCAATAACAGTCCACCAATAATTGAGGAAGATGATGATGACATAGATCACGATGAAGATGTAATTGATGACGAATAAAATTAATATTATAATTGTTTTACCTATAAATGTAAATATTTTCAACTATTTATGTAAATGTATAAGAATATATGGTGCCTTTTTATGTTGATAATTTTTTTTGTATTTAATTCTACTTTTTTCAATTTATATCTTATAAATTAGTTTATAAAAACTTCAATGTTGTAAAGGGTGATTTTCAAAAGTAGAAAAGTTGCAAAATTTTGGCAAAAAATTGTTTTCACCTATAGCACTCATAACAATTGATTTTTAAGGGTTGAAAATGTATGAATTTGTATTTTAAAGTATAAAAAACTCACTATTTAACTAATCCAAACCAAATTTCACTCATCTTAGGATTTGTAATATTATTTTACAATTTTTGAAAATTAGGGGTAGTTTTCACCCCTAAGAACAATCAGGGTTCATCGGCATGACATAAACTATAAAGCAGAGGGTGAGTTGAGCTTAATTCCATATTTTTATGCAAGTCGTTTCAAGGTGAAATCATTTTCTTCGCATTACTAATTTTTTTATATTAATCTCTAATGAGGGTCGCTTTTTAAGGGTTGGAATATGATGGAACTTTATTGAAAAGCACGAAACTATCATTATTTAATTAATTCAAACCAAATTTTACCTATATTCAGGTTTAATATGGTATTTTATAATTTTTGACAATTAGGGGTAGTTTTCACCCCTAAGAACAATCAGGGTTCGTCGACATGACATAAACTATAAAGCAGCGGGTGAAATTTTTATCCAAATGATACAAGGCGAAATCATTTTTTTAGAATTAGTAATTTTTTACATTAATCTCTAACAAGGGTTGCTTTTTAAGGGTTGAAATATGATGGAACTCTATTCAAAAGTATAAAATAATCATTATTTAATTAATTCAAACCAAATCTTACCCATATTCAGGTTTAATATGTTATTTTATAATTTTTGACAATTAGGGGTAGTTTTCATCCCTATAGCCCTTCAGCGCACTTCGGTTCGATATAGCTTTTGATCCTTGGGCTATTACCTACCTTCTGCTAAAATTTCATATGGATACATGCATGACGAAAAAATTGCGAGGTTTTAACTTTTTTCGAGCTTCAATTCCTGAACTATTACGCCTCCTTAGACAAACCCGTCTTACGCAAACAACTTTGTTGTGAGACCGATAGTTGAACGATATTTTATACAATGTCTATACCCAGGTATGGATTTATTTTTGTCCAAGTTTTATATTGGTCCACTATTTTAAATGCAGTTCAAACAGACATGTATTAAATTGTATGTTCCGTTTTAATTTGGTTCAATCTGTATATATATATATATATATATATATATATATATATATATATATATATATATATATATATATATATATATATATATATATATAATATATATATATATATATATATATATATTATATATATATATATATATATATATATATATATATATATATATATATATATATATATATAGGTAACACTGTTTTTGATGGGTTGGAGTCAATAAAAGGGGCTATTTGTTGACTATTTTTTACTCGAGCTTTCAATTGTGATTACAATTTTTATCAAGAGCTTCTAAAAAATACAAAATGTCTTACAAAGTTGAACTAGAAATAAAAAATTTTTTGTTAACTCACCAAATAAAATTAGTTTTTTATATAAAACTACTGCTTACATAATAAATACAAAAAATATTAATAAAAAAATGCCTTATTCTAATAAATGTTTCTCTGAAAAATTTAGATGAAGTTTCTTAAGAAAAAAAATTGAATTTATAAACAAAAATAGAATAGCTACAACCAGCCTAAAATGACATAAATACTAAAAAAATTTTTATTTTTGACATATTCTCAAAAATAAAATTTTGTTTAAAAAATTCTTCTTTGTTAAGTAACAAAAAAGAAGAAGATTTATTCACCATTGATAGATGCCCGAAAAAATGTAACAAATACATGGAAAATTCAAAATGTGATATTTTACTGACTGCATAAATTAAATAGAAATTATATAATTATAAATTTTGCTTAAATTTTGAATTTCTGACCTTTTGTTTAAATTATTATCACTTTTGCTAATACAAACCATTTCCAAAAAAGTTCTTTTAAATTTATTACTCTCATTACATAAAATTTTAATTATTTAATTTTATTTATTATATTTTAATTATTATAATTTATTAGAATAAGGCATTTTTTTATTAATATTTTTTGTATTTATTATGTAAGCAGTAGTTTTATATAAAAAACTAATTTTATTTGGTGAGTTAACAAAAAATTTTTTATTTCTAGTTCAACTTTGTAAGACATTTTGTATTTTTTAGAAGCTCTTGATAAAAATTGTAATCACAATTGAAAGCTCGAGTAAAAAATAGTCAACAAATAGCCCCTTTTATTGACTCCAACCCATCAAAAACAGTGTTATATTTTTTCCAAACGAGTCACAAGTACTTCTTTTTTCTTACTCTTATATATATATATATATATATATATTATATATATATATATATATATATATATATATATATATATATATATATATATATATTTCTTTGAAGGACCACCCAGAAAACTGAAGATTCGAAAAGAACGTTTGAACAACAAATATATTTAAACAAATACAATGTATTTTAAACGCCGCGCCGATAACTTGCATATGATACACACTTGTCGGTGATACAATATTGACACGAACTTATTAATATACCGACTGGTTTAAAACACTAATATGCCGCTGGGGCGAGTAGAGCCTGACGCTCCTTCAGTGCTGGAATTTGAACTGATACTGATTTGATGGATTTGAACTGCGAACTGATGTCCACTCTCTCCCCTCAATCACAAACATTCCGAAATCTCCCCCCTGGCCCCTCGACGTATTAAAAGATATGTTTATTTTTCAAATACCTTTAACTTTCAAATCATTGATAAACTACCTGATAAGGGTATTTGTCTCAACTTGCGGAATTTTGGAATGCGTCAGAGGGTAATTTGGAAAATACTAATCCTTTCATTGTTACGATTCTATGAAGGTTTTAGAAACTTGTGTAGAAAGTTATTTAAATGCAAGATAACGGCGCTTTACAGATTATTAGTTAGTACAAAGAAATTTTATGTATCTAAACTAATATACAGTATGATACAAAAATAAACTAAATATGATACAAAAATAGACTAAAAATATTAAGTATTGTTGTTACGCAACAAACACTTCATCTCGCGCTAGCAAGGTACAGTTTGCGGCCAATCCAAATGAGGCATCGGCAAATTTAAACTTGCCGTACTTGGCAATTAAATGCTAAGAGAAATGTATGTTTGGTTGCTCATCAACTAATATTCCGTTGATTTTTACATGTATATCGACAAGCTTGGGATCGGCTTGCCAAAGCGTGTTTTTTTAAGAATTCACACAGGCGGACGGATGTCTTAGATTTTGGATCATTAATTTGAAAACTGTCTTACGCAGGGTTCACTTAAAGCTCAGATTGGATGAATTAAACCAAACCCAACAAACTAACCATTAAACGAAGTAAACCACAATAAAACTGTTGTTTCATTTCTTCTAAAATCTTTATTTATATGACACTGCTATCATTAGTTGTTAATTTAGAAATTAAAGTTTTCATTGAATTCTTACCTACGTGTCTTATTTTAAGAGAGTTACAACTTATTATTAACCAATTTTTCCTAATGATATATATGGTAAATAAAATTAAGTAAAAAAATGTTACAATGGATAATCATTTCTTTTTAGAATAGATGTTACACATGTTTTCTTCCAAAACGAGTGCTTTTGCCAGAGCAAGATTTTGGGCTCTATTATAACAGTTTGATGATCGCCTTTGTAACATTGAATTATTTCAATTTTAATTCAAATATCTGGAATGGGTTTGCTTTGCATATTCTTCTTTGCAGTAGATGTACATCAACAATTTATCTAATGATTCTAGTGAAATGTGTGCCACAATAAAATTTCATAACTGTACCATTTCTAAGGTTTGTTCCTGTCGTGGAAAAGGATTTCATTCAAAATAATAACGATGAGATGGAATGTTATATATTTATTATTAATTATAAATTTAACAATTAAATTAAATACAATTTACACGATATTTATCTCAGTTGTATAAATACTTAATCAACTTATAGGCTGAAAAAGAATTCAGATCATAAAATCATTGTATAAAAGGATTTAAGCAGTACATGCATTGTAGGACTTAATCAGCAATATTACAAAATTTCATATAAATAATATGCAGGAACAATAAATCAACAAATTGATAATCTTTTTTATTCAAATATATCTAATCCTAGATATTAAAGATTTAGTTTTTAAAATAAACATTTGTAGTAAACTATTTGTACAAAGATTTTATGTTATAAACAAATCAATTGGAAGTATGTAATAATCATCTTTTGGTAATAATGTGAACAAAATTATCAATAATTGATATTAAATCCATGTTTTTAAAAATTTAAATATACATATAGGATACAAAAATTTGCTTTAATTTTTCTTATATTCAATCCTCTCAACTTTAACATCTTCACCAACTAATTGGTATACATATGTGACAACTGTTGTATTCTGAATGTCCATTAATACAAACGATGGAGTTATTGACCTGAAACAAACAGTTTTAGAAACTTTATTAAACTATTTAAATAATTCATGCAGATGGAAAAAAACTACACTTTTATAGGATATGAAATAATAATTTCATACAATAATATAAAACTTTGGGGGACACCTTATACAGAAACAATTTGAATGATCTCTGGATTTAATACTACAAAATATCACAGACATCTGCACTTATTAACTGCCATCAGTCAGACATTATTTAATGAGATAAAGAAACAAGTTAAAAAGAAATGAAACCCTCCCTGAGGTACTTCAGAAGTCCCTCTTATACTCTAAATTCTCCAATATAGCAATCCTAACACATTGTTCACTACCCACCAAACATCTTCTCAGCAAAGATATCCATTTAAGATCTTCTTTAGATCTCCATGGATCTTCATGATCTCCAATACTGTTGTATTCTAATTGTATCAGTTTTGTACATTTCTTATTTGGACTAAATTGTTCTGCAGTAATGGTCGTGAGTTATTTTGTTGTTTTTAACAAAGAAGAATGGAACGTTGGCTTAATGTCGTTAAATGTGACGCAACATCTTCTACAGAAGGCGAATGTTAGAAAGCAGTATGCGCAGAGTATACAGCAATTACCGATCAAGACGATTATGCAACGACGTCAAGTTCCACGGTTTCAAAGGCAAAAAAAAGGAAGTATGACGAATCATATATCAGTTTCGGATTTGTTGATTCCAACGGCTCACCTCTCTGTATCCTATGTAGTAAACTGTTTCCTAATAGTTCCATGGCACCTGCGAAGTTGAGCCGACATTTAGAATTGTACACCCTGAGTCTAAAGGTAAGAATAAAGAATTTTTTCTACGTAAAAAAGAACATTTATTGGAAAGTCAAAAAACTATGATGCATGTAACTCAAACTATCAATGAAAAGGCCACAGAGTCATATTTAGTTAGCTATCGCATTGCACAAGCAGGTGAAGCGCACACTATCGCCGAGAATTTAATAAAACCATGTGTGTTAGACATAAAAAATGTATGCTCGATGAAAAATCTGCAAAGCATCTTTCTACTGTGTCACTATCAAATGATACTGTTTCATGGCGAATTCATGATCTGGCAAGCTACGTCAAACAAGAACTAGTTACACATCTACAAAAAACAGGATTCGCCTTGCAAATAGATGTGTCTACTGGTCTAGCTATGTTGCTGGTTATCTTGAGATATCCATATGAAAGTTCTTTTGAAGAAGACATGCTTATGTGTTCACCGCTGCCCACAAACACAACCAGAGAGAAAATTTTTAATAAAATTAATATATTTTTTGAGGAAAATAATCTGAGTTGGAACGATTGCATTGACATATGTACATATGGGGCCAAGGTGATGACAGGTAATACAGCAGGACTAGTGTCACAAATAAAAAATAAAGCTCCTAATGTAGTTCCTCCCGCATAGACAAGCACTTACGACGAAGCAAATACCGTCAAATCTAAAATTAGTTATGGATGAAGCAGTAAAAATAATTAATTTTATCAAATCACGACCACTATAATCTAGATTGTTCTCATTATTGTGTGAAGATTATGGCAGCAAACATAAAACACTGTTGCTCCATACAGAAGTGCGACTTCAGGGTAAAACTTTAACAAGGCTATTTGAACTTAGAGCCGAGTTACAAATGTTTTTTTCAGATACTTCTTTTAATTTGAAAGACTGTTTGTATGATAAAACTTGGTTGTTCCGACTATCTTTTATGGAGGATATCTTTCAAAAACCGAACGATTTAAATTTATCATTGCAAGGTGAACAGGCAACAGTGTTTCAGGCCTGTAACAAAATAACTGCCTTCAAAAGAAAATTAGATTGTTGGATTGTTTGCGTCGGAAAGAGAGAAATAGAAAGCTTTACGTCACGTGAGTTTGTTAGCGATAACAACGAAATGTTCCAAGATGATGTATTTGAAGAATTGGTCAAATATCTTACAAATGTCCTCTATCGAACCTGATATTACACCCTGATGAAAAATAAAAGACAGTTTCATACCTTCCATTAGTTAGAGTTTTCTTATTTAATATCTTATTGTTATTTAAGTAAGTAATAAGTAACTGTTACATTGTACTTTTATTATGCTTATTAATAAAGAATACACTTTTAAAAACTACTGTTTTATTGTAGGGTTCCATCAAGTATTTCGCTTTACGAAAGGGTTCCGTCACCAAAAAAGACTGAGAACCAATGTTTTAGGCCATTTAAGATAAACCTTGTAAAACATCTTTGAAAAATTCTTTGTTTGCATTTAATATAAATAATGGCTACTCTAAAACTCCCTATTTTAATCAGATTGAAGCAGTAGAAAGATTATTTTATACATTTATTCAAAAAATTACCTAAATAACGCAAAAAACTGACGAAAGTATTGATCAAGTTTTATGATACTGGGTTCTAAGTTTATTTATAATGAAGTGTACAAACTCTTTCTAATGGAAAAGTGCCTAAAGTAGATATTTTAGGTTAGGTTCCTCATTTCCCCATTATTTCTAAATTTAACAAACTTACACAATCCTTCACCCAATAATCTCTTCAATTATTCTAAATTCATATAAGTATATTTTATTCTGCAGCAGATTTCAAATTGTCAGCTTTATATATAAAAAATAGTGTTTTCTGGGAGCTTGGAAAATTGGTTTTAATAAAATGAGTACATATTTGTAAATTTTTTATAAAAAAAACTACTACTACAAAAAATAATCTATGTATAATCTATATATAAAGTCTTCCCTTCTCTTGTGAAATAGACCTACTACCTTTTGAATGTAAATTAATATTATTTGAAGCAGTAATGATAAATTTGTTTGACACTTACGTTTCTAATGCATTGTAAGCTCCTGTTGCTGAACCAGGGTTGATATAAAATTTGTTTTCATGTTCATATGCTTCAAACTTATGTGTATGACCAGATATTAATATATCAACATCCAACTGTCTTTGGATTAATGCAATTGACTCTGGATCTCCCCAAGGCACTACTTGATGACCATGGGATAGTCCTATCCTAAACTGGCCTACTGTGACTACTTTTTGTTCTGGATAATTCAAATTCTAAAACAAGACATTAAGTGAACTGAAATTGATGAAATAATCAGCTAAGTACGGTACTGATGTACTTACATCATCAAAATCACCTCTCACTACATGAACATCACTAGCTAAGGTTTTTAAATAATCGTAGGATTCTTTCGTACACAAATTACCAGTACATAAAATGTGCTGTATTCGACCGGGCACCAGTAACTTTTTGAATTTCGCAGGTAAACTACTACATCTATGTGGTATGTGAAGATCACCTAGTACTAAAACAAGCTAGAAAAAAAATCGAATTTATATAACAAAACACTACACAGGCAGGCATTACTTTACCATAATTATAGTTAATGTTGATTATTCAATTAATTATTAATTTACACGTATCTTCCCTTAACAAAACTTGTTATAAACAATTAACTCCCCTTAAGACTTGGTGTCAAAACTTCAAAATGTAAAAAGTAAATGCCGTAAGCAGTAAGCAGCAAAGTATGGCAAGTATGCAGGATGATGTAAGGGAATGTATCAAGATGCATTAATAAAGGGTAACCTCAATTATATAACATCGACGTGACGTCATTTAAATTTTTTTTGATTTCTTTAATAATTAAGATTCTTTTGTCCGACACACTAGTAATTAATTAGTTCATTACTAAGTTATCATATTCTTTACCTCTGTATTTTCTTTTATCCTATGATGCTTAATCTACGTCCCTAATATCAAAGAATATGGACGCTTAGCGATTCTTTGCTAATATTGTAGAATTCAGAGCTTCAGACAGTTTACAGTTTTCAAAAATCGCCACTTGGAGGCGTAAACAAAAATCGCCACTTTATCGTCGGCAGTGGCGGCCGGTCAGGGGCGGCAGGGTCGGCAGTGCCGACCCACATCTTTATAGATATTATAGATTATTTTAATATTTAATTTAATCAGTATTTCAATAAATAATTGTGGCAGGTAATCAGTTGATGTCATTTGTTTTTGTGAACTAAAAAAATATCTGTGAGATAATAAAGACTAAATTTTATTCATGGTTTTTAAAAGAATTCGTCCAATCTGAGCGTTAAGTGATCCTTGCGTAGACACTTTTCAAATAAATGTTCCGATATCGGAGACATCCATCCGCCTACGAATTCTTGAAAATGCACGTTTTGTTTTTTCGGCTAGCCGATCCCAACCTTGACTTTACTTGTAAAAATCAACGGAATATTGGTTGATTAGCAACCAAATATACATTTCTTTCCATATGAACTTAATTACTAAGTCCGGCAGATTTACATTTGCCGATGTTTCATTTGGATTGGTGATTGGTCGCGAACTGTACATTGCGAGCGTGGGACGAAATGTTATTTCATTTTTGTAGTAAACTGAAGTTATATTCAGTGCACGAACTAGCCTATCTTTTTGTGATTTATTTTTATTTTCTAAAGTAATATTGTGATACGTTACGTCTGCCGTAAATATTTAACGGTTAAAGGGTTTTTTGGCATATTAGAAGTTTTTTTTTTAATTAAAGTGTAAACAAATTCAGTAAACACCTAAAAAATGCAAGCCATGGGAGAAACTGTAAGTATTGATAAGTCTGATATTGTAAATTATATTTTGCATAATGGGTTTTCATCAATTCCATACGAAGAACAAATTGTTATTAAAAATAAGGGGCGTCCTTTGCCTAAAATGTCCCGACTTATAAATATTAGTGCGGGTAAGGGAAGTAATAGATCATTTTCAGATAATTGGTACAGCAAGTACTCATGGCTTACTGGGAGTGAAATAAAAAACAAACTTTTTTGTTGGCCTTGCATTTTAGTTTCGACAAATAGGGGCAAACATCAAAATCCGTGGTGTGAATCTGGTTACGATAATTTAAAGGAATTATTTAGGGCTTTACATAAACGTGTTATACATATGAAAGATCATACTTACAGCCAGATTAAATTAGATTTATTTGGAAAACAAAATATCCATGTTTCATTAGATAATGCCCAACGTGAAAATGCTATTAAACATAACGAAATTGTAAAAAATAATCATGCAGTTATTGTAATTTTTTTAAGTTGTCAGGAATTATCTTTTAGGGGACACGATGAATCAGAGCAGTCAATTGTTGTTCGATACGCGTTACGTGGTAATATCTATAAGAGGTTTTTAGGTTTTACAGACGTGAGTAAAAGCCATAAGGCAGAACATATTTTTGGTGTTTTAAAGGACAAATTAAAATTTTTTGGTATCAAAAATAAATTGGTAGGGCACACTTATAACAGTTATAACGGCGCTGCCGTGATGTCTGGTGAATTAAATGGTCTCCAGGCAAAAGTTAAAACTATTGCACCGCAAGCTTTATTTACTCATTGTCATGCGCATAGAATGAATTGAGTTTTGCAAGATACATGTAAGAAAATTAAAGAATGTCGTCTTTTTTTTGCCAGTTTAAGCGGATTTGCTTCATTTTTCTCAAGCTTGCCTAAACGGACTAATGTTTTAGAACGGTTTGTTTCGAAAAAAATGCCAACAGTTTGTCAGACGCGATGGAATTTTAAATCTCGGGTAGTTTTCACTGTAGCAGATTTTCGTGAACAGCTTTTGAAAGTTTTTGATTTTATTATTGAATGTGACGACTTTGAAAGTGATGATATCTCGATCCATAAAGCAATTGGTTTGAAAACTTTATTAAATGATTACTCTTTTAACATACTTTTAAATATTTTTAAGAAAGTGTTTACCCAAACCGATTTGATATTCAATGTTGTTCAAAATCAGTTAACTGACATTATTCATTCCAAAAATAGAATAACAAGACTGGTGCAAAATCTCAGTCAGATTTTCGTAATGATAGTAATTTCCAATATATACGCAGTGACGTTTTGGACTCGCTTGATATTTCCGAACCCCCCCAAAAAAATAAAGACATGACAAAGAAACAGATCTCGAAAAACGAGTACCTATATTTTGAAATGTTGGACAATATTATTATGCAAATAGATACTTGTTTTTTGAATTTTGAAGATTTGCAAATTTTTGACCTCTTTGACGATTTAAAATTTAAAAGTTACGCCAAAGAATTTCCAAGATATTTATTAGACAGGTTGATTAAAAATTATCCATCATTCTTTAATAAAATAAAATTAGAAAATGAATTAAAAGTTTTATATGCTGATCCAAATATTTTCGGAAGATGGGATAAGTTACAAGATATGTATAATTTTATATATTGCAATTCATTACAACAAACTGTTACCGAAATTAATAAATTATTTATTGAGAAATTATAAAGTTCTGGAACAAAAATGGAGATTTGATGAACAAAATGAAACACGTGTTTACTCTATGACTGTAATTTTGCTACTACCCTAAAAAAGGAAAGTGATACATTATTCAACTAGTAAAGTAGCCAATAGATGACACTTCTAGAAAATATTCAAATTTATTTATCTATATCCAACATTATTGTCATTAATTCTCTCATTACCACCAACGTCTGCCTCAAATGAACGAGATTTCTCTTGCCTCAAAAGAATAAAAAATTATTGTCGAAATACCATGAAAAAAGAGAGAATGTTAAGCTTGTCTCAAATATCAATAGAAAAAAAAACTTTTAAAATCTCTTCAAAACTCTAATAAATTTTACGATGACGTTATTACCCATTTTGCTACTTCCAAACAACGTAGACTGGAGTTAATTTATAAACATGTTTAGGTTCTAAATTTAAAGGAAAAAACAAAAAAAAACAAAAAACGAGAAAACAAAAAATCTCCTATGATGATTGAAGTCTTTATTGGACGGTATACCTATCTGTGGAGACAAAAAATACCTTGCCGACCTTGCCTCTCAAGCCACGAGCCGCCACTGATCGTCGGGTGTTGCTGATTTTGATTTCTTGGGATTTGCTATGGCCTATCTTACTGGGGGATACTAGGGGACTATGCTATGTCCCAGCAGCCATTTTTGCCTTTTTATGCGTTATTCGAGACACTTATTTTTTATTTTAAAAATTGGTGTATTATGTACTAAAAAGCAATTCTTACGTACTAACCGGATAAGGAATTGTTTTTTGATCGAAACACCTTACAATCTTTTGAGCTTTCTCTCCCGGTGATTGACTTTTAATTAATTTCATTTATAGTTTATATAAGAGAGTTTAATTTAATTATATTATTTGTAGATTTGTACCAATTTCAATAAAAATTTGAATCATAATATCTTTTCTACAAAGATTCATGTATTAAAAGTTAAAATATTATTTTCTTTAAAAAAATTTAAAAACGCAAAAATTTAATGGTATTCTACGACCACGCGGCATCTTTATAAAAATACTCAAAATCTCGAGAAGCTATGAGCATATTAACGTATGTATTAAAAACGGCATAGGTAGGAGTGGCTAACTATAATACCAATATGGCGGTGACATCAGGGCATCGAGCAAAAAGATAAAAGAGGGAATCTAATCGTTATGAAAAGGAGACCAAAAAAGTGGCCTCTGATGGCGGACATATCCGGAAATGCAAAGGCGCTAAATTTAAATTTTCCAACACTTATTAACAATAGCTATAAAATATTTTTCAGACGAGAAAGTTTTAATTAAATATTAACTATAATAGTCTAAAAAGTGACACAATTGGTAAAAGATTTCAATATAAATAAAATTTCATGTGACAGTTGAGACAAACAATAACATAACCTAACTAAATTTGACTTCTTAAACAAGGAAAGAGACTGTCTATCCTTGTCTAAAGTGGCCTGTCAAGATGGCACTTCCTGTCTATCAATATGTTTACCCCCACTACCTTTACATCCCCTCTTTTGTCTTATTGCTCGATGCATCAGGGCCAGACTCAGACTCAATAATAATAAAACTACTATACAAATATGACTAGTTATTCAGAAGATTTAATCATAATCTAAAAAGTGCAATACATTTTTAATAAACTATGACTTATTTATCTCGCGGTAAACACTAAAAACACGATATATTATATATAAAGATAAATTAATACAGTAAAATAGTATTAATTTATTCTCTGAAGTACGGGCCATTACTTTGTTTACATATTTGTATACTAACCTGTGGAACGATATTCCTGAAGATTTTTTATTAACATTACTTCTGCTACTGCAACTAAGTTGAGAACAAGAAACCATTATTATGCACTATCACAATATATTACAGTTTCTATAAAATTATTATAAAACTGAAAATATTCGAAAAACAACAAATATAACCAAACATATACGATCTGTCAAAAGTTTCAAAACAATAATACCAATATGGCCGAAGTTAGGTCGTTTTTAGTCACGTGATGCCCTCTCCATAGATTCTAACTCGATGAGTAATAGCCAATGACGTATAATATATATTATACGTCATTGGTAATAGCGATGACATGACCGCTCCCTCGTGGTACAAATAAGGAACTAAATTCATGATCAACTTGTTTTGTGTTCAA